GCAAAAAAAAATGGCTGGATGAGAAGAAATGCACACTAAAATACTGCTGAACTTTTATAAGGACACACACACACACATTTATGAAACTGATCTGGAAATGTGGAGAACTGAACTTAAGACTGAAAAAAATAGAAACAGAAAAATCACAGTTGACAGATTCCTTTATCCCTAGTATTTATTCCCCAAAGCAGATTGGATGCTCATAGGCTCTCCTAGCCTCCATTAAAAAGGTACCCCTGCCTGTACGGGGCAGTCGTGTCCGACTCTAGGGTTGTGCGCCCATCTCACTTAAGAGGCCGGGGGCCAGCGCTGTCCGGAGACACTTCCGGGTCACGTGGCCAGCGTGACGAAGCTGCTCTGGTGAGCCAGCACCAGCGCAGCACACGGAAACGCCGTTTACCTTCCCGCTATAAAGCGGTACCTATTTATCTACTTGCACTTAGGGGTGCTTTCAAACTGCAAGGTGGGCAGGAGCTGGGACCGAAAGATGGGAGCTCACCCCGCCACGGGGATTTGAACCGCCGACCATACGATCGGCAAGTTCTAGGCTCTGAGGTTTTACCCACAGCGCCACCCGCGTCCCTAACCTCCATTACCCACCAAATAATCTTAGCTTAATGGGGTCTCTACCAGGCATATCTACCAAACCAGGGATATCTACGATAGCGAACTAGTATTCCCTGGAACCTTTCAGAGAGGAAATTGCTTTTTGCATTTTGCTCACAGCTGAAACACCAAGCCAAGTGGCCCCAACCCCACTATTTTATAGGGATCATAGCTACAAAATGCACAATAGTTTTGCTATCCTACACAAACAGTGTGTAGAGGAATCCACTCTTTTACCGTAATTTAATTATTTCATCAAAAGTTGAAAAAGCAGAGAAATCACACAGGTAAAGATTACACATCTGAAGCACAGCAAAAAGGCTCAGGAAGAGCAAAACTCAGCAAAATCTTTAAGCCTTTAAACCTATTTATTTTAAGCTGCTTTTCCTAATTTAGACCTTTATTTGATGAGCCTAAATTAGAGAGCTGTTTTAGAATGTATAGCTCTCTTTTTTAGCAGCTGGGATCTATACTGCTGTTTTATTTATTTTTAACTGGCCTTTCTTTTTTAAATAATTGTGTGCTGCTGTAGTTTAAGTTGTCTAGATTTGTTTTGAATTGCATTGTGTTTTCAGGATACGCAAACTGCCTAGTGTAGATTGCACCAAACACTGCGGTCTATAAACGTAAATAAATAAATAGAAAGAATACAATACTTTTGACAGGGAAATGATGAAAACAAAATTTACATGCACTAAAGCTATAAAACTGTTATTACAATGAGGCCAGAAGAGCAAATTATGATCATAAGACTATCCTAGTCATTCCAGTCGGTCTTACCACCAGGTAATAGTGCTCTGAGAATCCCGCTTTGGAAATGTTTGGGTACCAATATCCCTAGCAGCATCTCCTCTAGCACCCGGGAAAGGTTTGAGGAAATGACCTCAAAAGGTCGTAGATGTGGGACTGTTTGCTCTTCCTGCTCAGTTTCTTTTTGCACTCATTCAGTCTATCCTATACAGTGGTACCTCAGGTTAAGTACTTACCGTACTTTTCGCCCCATAGGACGCACTTTTTCCCCTCCAAAAATGGAGGGGAAATGTGTGTGCGTCCTATGGGGCGAATGCAGGCTTTCGCTGAAGCCTGGAGAGCGAGAGGGGTCAGTGCGCACCGACCCCTCTTGTTCTCCAGGCTTCGCGCAGATCTCCGCAAGCCTGCAGAGAGTTGCCTGCATGCCGAAGGCTGGGTGCGCTGAGCTCAATGCGCCCAGGCTTCACACAGCTCTCCATAAGGCGCGGGAGCCCGGCGCTGGGCTCCCACGGCTTGCGGAGAGTTGCGTGTTCTGGGGGCTAGGGTCGGGGGAAGCTCGGGCTTCCCCCTCCCCAGCCCCGCGCCTGGGGGGACAGTAATTTTTTTGCCCTTTATTTCCCCCCCAAAAAACTAGGTGCGCCTTATGGGGCGGTGCGTCCTATAGGGCGAAAAATACGGTAATTCATTCCGGAGGTCCGTTCTTAACCTGAAACTGTTCTTAACCTGAAGCACCACTTTAGCTAATTGGGCCTCCCTCTGCCACCACGCCACCACCATGCGATTTCTGTTCTCATCCTGAAGCAAAGTTCTTAACCCGAGGTACTATTTCTGGGTTAGCTGAGTCTGTAACCTGAAGTGTATGTAACCTGAAGCGCATGTAACCTGAAGCGTATGTAACCTGAAGCGTATGTAATCCAAAGTATCACTGTACTGAACATACACCCTGAAACTTCCCCACATTTTATTGGATGCTAGGACTGGACTAGGGCTGGGCAATATCATCTTTCAACATCGCGGTATACCACCAACCAAACATCGCGGACTGGCGATATACCGCGATGTTGAAAAAACAAGCTTCATTGGCCTCAGCCTGCAAGGCACCAGATGAAATTACCGCATCTCTCACCGTGGGAGCTGAGGCAGTTTCACCCCAGTGCCTAGTAGGCTGGGACATAGCAGCTTGTTTGTACGGCTCTGCTGGGGTGTGAGAGGACTCCCCATCCCCGGCAGAGCCATCCCCAGTGCTGGGGGATCCTTTAACTGCTCAGCTGATGGGAGCAGCAACCACACAGTCCTCAGTCAAGCAGTTTAAAGATGCAGAGGGAGGAACAAGCTATATCGGTGTCTCGTTGATGCAGCTTTTTCCTCCCTCTACGCAGTATGAGGGCAGAGTGGGATGGGGGTTTCACTCAGTGATATATCCCTGGTGAAACTGCCACCACTCCTGAGTCCCTCTGCCAGCAACGTTCGCTGGAGGAAGTCACTAGCAGAGGGACTCAGGAGCAGTGGTGGTTTCACCAGCGATATACCGCTGAGTGAAGCTGACATCGCCGTCTGCTCCTCATACTGGTCCTGGGTGATATATAGATATATCAGGCCAGGCCTTGACTGGACACCCTCACTCCATCCTAAACAGAGGAGGGTTTTTTTTCTATAAGTGAGTGCAAGAGTCGCTGTTATAGGTGCCTTTTCCCCATGGATGTGTTAGTCATGCCTGTACCATTCTGTGGCCTTGACTTTTATTGCTCTTTTAGATGTGGCAGCCATCTTTGTTAAATCCCCACCTCCCGGCAGCCATTTTATGACTGGTATCCCTGGCACTTTTTCAAAAATTCAATTTGCCCACTGGCCCAAAAGGGTTGGCTATCCCCAGCCTATGGGAAGCCCAAAATCAAGGCATGAAGTCAGTATATCCCTTGACCTTTTCCATAAAATGCAGTGGTACCTTGGGTTAAGAACTTAATTCATTCTGGGGGTCCGTTCTTAACCTGAAACTGTTCTTAACCTGAGGTACCACTTTAGCTAATGGGGCCTCCCGCTGCCGCCGTGTGATTTCTGTTCTCATCCTGAAGCAAAGTTCTTAACCTGAGGTACTATTTCTGAGTTAGCAGAGTCTGTAACCTGAAGCATCTGTAACCCAAGGTACCACTGTAGACATAACAGCACTTTTTTTCAGCCTGGAACTCGCTGGAACTCAGTTCCAGCACGTCTCACATGGGTGCCACTGCCACTGCCACCGGCACCTCTTTTTCTAGAAAAATAGCACTGGACATAAATATTATGAAGTATGAGTGGAACCATTGTGTGCATGTTTCCAGCATATTTCCATTCAAAAGATATGCAGGGCCCAATCCGGACCTGATCACTGCTTGCATGCATTTTAAAATGAAATGCAATGGAAGATGCATGCATGTGTCCTTCATATCTGACAGGACGTGTGAGTAAATGTCATTAATCCTTCAAAGGATGGGTACAGGTCTTATAGTATAAAATCATAAAATGTATCAATGCATCAGCTCACTGTGGCTGTTCTGTTCTGCATTCCTCTCCAATCAACCAACGAGCAAAGGTTATTCCAGATGTGAGGAACCACTGACCTTCCAGATGTTGTTGGACTACAACATCAGGGACAATGGTCAGGCATGATAGAAGTTGTAGTCCAACAACATCTGGAGGGTCACATATTCCCTAGCCATTAATTTATTCACTAAAGCACTGTATATGGCTTTAAATACCACAGCAATCGCACAAGGCTCTTTCCGCAGGAATCAAAATCATTCAGGAGCAGTGAGGAAGCTCATGCTTATCAGACAAATTTCTTCCAAATCAAATGATTCAACCAGTTGCAGACATTTGTCTCAATGCCGCCAGAGCAAATGACACATAACAATTCTGCCCCACGCAGCATACAACGGGGATCGGAATATCTATGTACACTTCAGTCACAAAACAGAGCCTCAAGTGTGCTTGGGCTTATTCCAAAATAATCCAAATGCTGCTTTTTTAGCAAATGGGGGTCAATGAAGCTCAAAACTCAGACAAGGATTTGAGCATTCATGTGTTTATATACACCCACTCGTTCATTTATTATTCTAAAGCTACTTTACCCAAATCGAATTACATAGCTGACAAGCTGCATAGATAAGAAAAATGCAGACGAAATCTAAACTCGGCTGACAATGCTGCATGATATAGTACATTATATCATTTGGCATTTTTCAAATGAGTGGAGGAGGTTGCATTGGGGTGGATGGGGCAGGAAAGATGAGCCTGCACGTACCTAAACTGTACCTTTAACAGGAACATAAAGGAATGTATTCAATATAAAGTGGTACCTCGGGTTAAGAACTTAATTCGTTCTGGAGGTCTGTTCTTAACCTGAAACTGTTCTTAACCTGAAGCTAATGGGGCCTCCTGCTGCTGCTGCGTCGCTGGAGCACAATTTCTGTTCTCATCCTGAAGCAAAGTTCTAAACCCAAGGTAATATTTCTAGGTTAGCGGAGTCTGTAACCTGAAGTGTCTGTAACCTGAGGTACCACTGTACGTATATGTAGCCCAAAGGAGAAATCACTGAGTGTGTGTTTTCTTTTCTAAATGCTCAACCATCAAAGCAAAAGAGAGCATATTGAAGAAACTTTGCTTACTGTTTGTATACTTTGGTCAAAACAGATCTCCACATCATAGAAGTTCCCATGGTGTCTGACGGGCAGTGTGGTTCCAGCCCACTGCTGGCCCTCTGCTTTAGACCAGTCAAGCACTTTACCACCAAGCTGTCCGCGGAGGGAAACCTTGAGAACGTAGCTGCCTTGTGGCACTTTGTCTTTAACACCACGTAAGGATTTCAGCTGGATCTGAATGGGCTGAGGTTTTTGAGACCAGTCAATCTAATGGAAGAATAGATGGGTGTTAGCGGGGAGAAAATAGAAGAGGAACACACTTGGCTTGCAATAGTAAGAGCACGTAGTGGAAAGCGATCTGGTTCCAGTCAAGGCCGTGCCTGCTCTTCCCATGGCCTCACCAGGTTTTATATGAGCAATGAGCTGCACATGCTTATGAATGCCCTTCAGATCTTCTGGGGGATTCAAATGCATGTGCCCAGTGCATGAAGGGATGTCGAAGACTTGTGTGTGCAAGTTCAAGCCCTCCCTACTTGAAGCCACCACATCTTCTTCTGAGCGTTTGAACAGTCAGCAAACTCTGCCTTCACAAGTTAGGAATTCTAGATGATTTGTTGTATCTCCTCGTTCACCGCTTTGGACCATTCATACACCGTGGTGTTTTTCTGTAGAACTACAAATTCCATCTCCTAAAAGGAAACGATGTTGACCTGTCTCTTACACAATCATGTCACTGATCCTGAAATTAAAGAGTTGGGTAAAGAGGCACCATAATCTTGCAGGGGATCTGCGAGTTGATTATGGTCCCGGGTTTGTGTTATGGGGTCAGGTTTGTACACCACTGTGCCACCCCTCCCTGATAACATGCAGTTGGGGGAGAGTGAAATGATACCAACACATCTGCATTTCTCTACTACCCACAAGCAATGGGCAACAGCACGCTTTTCCTGACATGAGGGCATACTGCTGGCTGCTTTTCACAATTTGTTCTACAGCCATGATGGCTAGAAGTGGAGGGAGTTGCAAGAAAGCCCTGTGGTCACATTGAATTTCTCACACACTGCATTCCCTTTGAATAGGCAGCAGGCAGGTGTGCCTCCAGTAGTTTCTCTGCAACCTGCTGCATGCCTTCATGCCGGACATTCAAGAGGAAGAAGGGGAGGGCCTGGGCCAATCCAGGACCCATTGGATCCTGAGCTGGCCTTATGCCATCACATGGTGGCAACCAAGTACAATGGCAGGTGCAGCAATCTGCCTTCTGCACATGAACTCTCCTGACCAGGAGGCTCAGTGAGGCTATGGATGAGGCAGCGGCCCCACTATTAAGTTCACTGGGTAGCATCTGGGGTTAGGACTGCACCACAAATCACCACAGTAGTGATTTAGAGCGTTTCCTTGCACATTTCAAGGTAAAGCAACCAATTGTGAGAGAAGGTGCCTCACAGTACGCAGCATATTATTTTAATATGCTTCACTTGCCAAAGTGTTTCAAAGCCTCATGATCCAAGCCCACAGTGACCAATAATCTCCCTCCCCTTTTTTTTTTTAATCCGACCTTGGATTTATATTGGAAGAGACAACATATTTCCATATAGATAGAAAGCTTGTGGAGTTTAAATTAAGCAGTTAAATAAACACTTGAAGCAGTTAAACCTCTTCTGGGTTTTTTGTTTTGTTTTTCTCAACACAAACTGTACTTAACAAACTAATCTGAATGACAATTATTTTCATTTAAATGAGAAAAAAAATTAATTAACAATGGAGATTTAACCTTAATATTTTTGCTATATATATAAATACACACACACACACACACACGAGAAAAATTAACATCATGTGAATGAAGAAATAAGACAATCTTTCTAAAACCTCAAGGCAGGATTACTGATGCAGGCAGTCTGAGTTATTAAACACATTCTAAATTAAACGCCTCTATGAATTTTATACTGAAATATATTTTGATAGTTTTGCATGCCAAATGTGACATTTTATATTTCAGATTCATCTTCTGTAGTAATTTTGGAAATGTCATACAAACAAAGATTTTGTCATTTACCAATGGAATTACTATGCATGGCCAGTTAGCCTTCTCTCTTTCTGGCTCTCCTAGTTGTTTCAAGTCAGCAAGCCATAAAAAATCTTTATCTCTCTGAAACACAGCAATTTGGAAGATAATCGAATAGTGACTGGGGGGCAAAAACGCCAGTCTGAGGAATTATACCACAATCTCTCTTGCATTTACAACCTTCCCTCAAAGCGAGTGTCAGTTGAGTAGGAAAAGGAGATAGGAGATTCATCATATCTCAAGCTTGTCTCATTTACATGGTGGCAACGCCGCCTCCCCTCATCTCCCCCAGAAAGACTTTGCTTGGCCAGTGCCGAGGAAGTGTTTTGAAGAACTCCAGCCTTGCCCAAATGATTCATCGTTAATGCTTTTAGACATTCCATTTAAGCATACAGTTGCATCTGCTGGGATGCATACGTTTAAGCCTGATGAAAAACTAATACGTTTATTTTTTAAAAATGGGAAGGGAAGGGATTTCATAGGAGGGAGTCAATATAATTGATCTAGTCAGTTTGCAATTTACATTAGGAAAAAGAGCACACACACACACACACACACACGACTCACCTCCCAGCAAAGACCTGCTGCTCCATTAGATCCATTATTCAGTCCTGCAAGGTTACTAGACTTGGCTGCAGTCCCTTCATACGGTGTTGCTTTCAACACCTGACTTTCTTCCATGCTTCAGCGGCAAAGGGAAAGTGAGGGTAGGAAATTTAATAAAATGCATAAATTAAAGAAAGTGTTGACCCTTAAAACCTACATGCATTTTAATGCATTCCTTAAATACGTTACAAAGAACGCAACAGTGAAGGGAGTATTGCTGCTCAGGGCAGATGGATATTTAGCTTTTGACAAGTGGAGAAGGAATAAAATGGGATAACTGTGGTAATGACACAACTTCCATTTGTCAGTCTAGACTGGTGCCAAAAACACAATGGGCCACAATCCAGGAAGCACTTTAAGCATATATTTACTGGCCCATGGCCATGAGGTTTCACTCATAGGACCCAGGGCGCCAAAATGGGCTTGTACACCAGACAGAGCAGGAAATTGGTGCTGGAGCGACAGCAGAGCATGGACAGAGAAACCACCAGTGAACTGGTGCTATGGCAACATCACAACTTGGAAAGAGAAGCTACCAGTGAACTGGTGCTAGAACAACAGCACAGCATGAATGGAGATACCACCCACATGTGCGTAGAAACAGGACAGCTATCTTCATGGCCAAACTAGAGTGTGACCATCCACTTCTGTTGAGAAGAAGTAGCTTCAAACTATGAAGCAATTCTTCTCACGTCATAGATACTTGATGTATGGTGGTGGTGGAGGAGGGGGCTTAGAAGAGGAGGTTAAGAATATTTGAAAGGATTCTGAAATGAACCCCCCGTGTTCTGGAGCTGTTTACCTCTGGATATCAGTCACCAAGATCAAACAAGAGGGGTGTGGGATGTAATCATCTGGAGCAGTCAAGTACAACATTTCCTGTTTGCCTAGAGTGAACATGCATGGGGAATGTTGGTCCATCCAGTTCCTGTTACACCTGGCTGGAGCATCCTTCCTTTTGCATGTGACTAGTAGGTGGGCGTGACCTTTCCAGACCTGGTAAAAGCCAAGTCACATAGCCACCTTCCTTCTTTTTCATCCTACCTGCTTCCTGCTTCACTTGGACTGCACTGGTTATCTCCCATTTGGGGTAAACCTATTTGTACATATTTGTAACTTTAAGCCTAAAGCCTGCCTTCAGGGATCACACTGTGCTCTGCCTGATCGCGAGTAAAACTACTTTTTGTTACTTATGAATAAGACTATTGTGTCTTTATTCTTTTAGGGGGGATTCAAGGGGTCTTACCAGGAGTCTTGAGAGACTCACACGAGTCTGCAATCAGCTTTCTTGCTGTGTAAAAGAGGGAATGCACTCTGCTGTGTGAAGAAACTTGCTAGCGTGAGTTAGGAAGGATAATATTAATCAATATATCTTCTCCTGTTGCCCACAACATTCCCACAAGGGGAAGGACATCACCTTTTAGACAGAGAGAGAGACAGCAAGAGTATAGTCTGCTATTTATAAAGAGATGACTGTGTCCAGTTTCAGACCATTTCTCATCCAAACTCTTGCTGGAAACCTGTCACCTGCAAACCTACAATATATATTCCTATATCCAGTTACTTGGAAGATTGTAAAGCCTCACACTCAACCTAGTTTGACCAAGAAGGGCTGCCTTTATTTATTTATTTTAAAATGATTGTGTGAATCATCTCCAATGAACAAGGGGAGATTTTGCAGCCTTTTTTTCTGCACACTGACTCAACTAAAAAGCTTCCCTAAAGCTGGCACAAGATAAACAAAGTATCTGTGTTCCTAAAATCAGTCTGTGGTCTAGTTGTAGAGGAAAGTTTTTGCTAAAGATGTATAATGAAGGCGTCAGGCAGAAAAGCCCCATTCTCATGTTGCCACCCTCCATCTTTCACAGAAAGAGCACATGAAGAAGGGCTTCAGATGATTATCGCAGGGTCTGGGTCAGTTCATGTGAGGTGAGGCAGTCCTTGAGGGATTGTGGTCCTGAACCATTTAAAGCTTTATAGATCAAAACCAGCACTTTTAACTGGGCTTGGAAACTAATTGGCAGCCAGTGTAGTTGGGCCAGGTTTAGCATAATATGCTCAAATTGCCTTACCCCAATGAGCAACCTGGCGGCTGAATTCTGTACCAGCTGAAGTTTCCGAATTGTCTTCAGAGGCAGCCTCACGTTTAATATATTGCAGTAATCTAACCTCTAGGTTAGATGAAGCATGACCTCAGAAGAAGCTGCCTGGTATATCGCAAGTACATATTCTAAAAGTAAGCATTTACAAATATAATAGTAAAGTGTGCCTCAAATTTTAATTGCAGGGGATGGAGAGAGAAAATGCTTCAGCCATCAGGAGTATGGGAAACACAGTCCTAAATAAACACCTCAGGATTTTTTGGCATCCCTTTCTCGCGTGACCTGAAGGTTAGACAAAGCTTAACCTAATTTGCCCTAAAAGTGGAATTGAGTCAACTTGTATTGTGAACTTTACTATTTAAAAGCGAAAATCTCTTTTCCTAGAAAGAATGGTCTGTTTGAAACTTTGTACTTATTTAGTTTCCTCATGATGGAAATTATTTCACTTAATTTGGTTAGAGCTACATTGACACAGGGGTTCATTAGGACACCCA